CAGGGTTCAGTGCTAGGACCAATTCTGTTTACATTATACATGCTTCCCTTAGGCAGCATCATTAGAAGACATAGCATACATTTACACTGCTATGCTGATGACACCCAGCTCTATCTGTCCATGAAGCCAGATAACACACACCAATGAGTTAACCCTTTAAGCGCCATCATAGAACCAAGAGCCAGAGCTTATCTTTATATTTTTACATGCTGTAGTGCCATTTTTAGGAGTATTTCAAGTTGCTATACATCAGTACAAGGCCATTTACACCATGATAAGGGAAAGACCATCTCTGAATTGAGGAGGGGACCTAAGGGTACATCTGTCACCATCTTACAATGCTGTGATTGCAGCCATTCCCCAACTCTCTGTGGATGGTACTCATGGTTATTGATCAGTGGTTGTTGATCAATGGTCATGACAATTTGCATATTAATGAAGGAACTGACCTCCCAGCCCATTGTTCCTTCAGTCAGATGTATGTGTGGTGTGTTAACATGAGTGCAGCATTTCACTGTATATGTTATTTGTAGCTGGAGTGTGTGTGTGTGTGTGTGTGGTGGGGAGCAGAGTTGGGGTGTTCATGTTAAGATGGTTTTGAACCTTTGTATCTGTAAGAGAAATATATTCAGAGCTCTGGAAAATGACTCGAGTCTGTTGTGGTTGTTTTTTTCCCATCATCTGGTCCTCTTCATGTTAACCACCGACCGCGACACCTATGAAACTACGACAGGTGTAATCTAACATAAATTAATGGGTATGTGCAACGTTATAGCTCAAAGTTTAATGTTTTCTAAGCAGAGAGCAGTAGAAACGGGAGAACTGCCAGGTTATTGTACACCACTGGAAACCAGTAAGGCTGCAGTTTGTGTCCATGTTTGTCCAGACTTTTGTAAAAGTAAAGAGTAAATGAATTTACGAGGTTCAATTTTATTTTATTTAAATGGTGTCAAATGACAACAACAGTCACCTCCAAGTGGCAGAAAGATTAAGGTCAACAATTTAATATAAGACCAAATGTGAAATAGGATTATGATGCAGACGAACAGCCAGAAAAGTTCAGTTATTACTTTTAAACATAAGATACACATTTGACAGAATTAGTGTATGAATTTTTGTGCTTGCAAAAATCTGTGTTGTCAGATCACAGTGACCTTGACCTCTGACCACCAGTCCCAGTAAACATGTGTGCCAATCTTCAAGAAATACTCACAAGGGCTTCCTAAGAGTTTGTATTCATGACACCAGAATGGGCTAACAATCTATTACATGGATAAAACACACATACATAAAATAAAGATTTCTGCTTTTATTTTGAAATTGTAAATGTTGAACAGTGGCTCACTTACCACTCCGGTCTAAAGCACACACATTTTCTAATGACCAAAAGACTTCAGTTAAAAAATGAATCAAAAAATTTCAGTCAAATGTTCTCATGGTGAGCTTTAGAGCTGTGAGAATGAACGCTTACTGCTTTCACTTCCTGTCAACAGTATGGAATAGATTTGACTGGAACTGCCCTTGGGCACACACAGCAACACTTAGCATGACTTTACACAACATGAGTTACATAAAAAACTGGATCTGCATCTTTAGAGGCCTAATAACCTGCTAGCATGCTAAAGCTGAAACAAAACAAGTGTTGTGTTTTCAAAAGGTGAAGCTAATATACTCAAGGTAAACGTCTGACTTTGGAGACCACAGGCCAAACCAAGCAAAGCAACGCTAAACCCCAACAAATGCCCTTACTGAGTGTCTCACTTAAATGCAATATATTATTTAGGATGTCTGTAGCTCAGGAGGTAGAGCAGGACACAATCATGTGAAGGCTGCTCCAGTCTACGTGCTTTGGACAGGACTAACCCAACTTGCTCTCTGATGCATCCCTTGGAGTGAATGTTTGACAGAAAGCACTTAAGCATAGAAAAAGTAGAAGTGCTTTGAATAGAGAATCACTACCTAAGAACGAGTCAATTTACACCACTAACAGCCAGGGTACACGCTACATTTCCTGAAGCCTATTTTAACCTCAGGGCACCATCCATCCATCCACTTCCACTTATCCTTTCCAGGGTCGTGGTGCGTGCTGGAGCCTATCCCAGCTGTCATAGGGCGAGAGGCGGGGTACAGCCTGGACAGGTCGCCAGTCTGTCGCAGAGCTAACACACAGAGACAGACAACCATTCGCACTCACATTCACGCACAGATTCACACCTATGGGCAATTTAGATTAATCAATTAACCTATCCCCACTAATCACACCAGGACACGATTTTTAAAATAAGGCTACCGTATTTTCTGCACTATAAGGCGCACTTAAAATCCTTTAATTTTTTCAAAACTCGACAGCGCGACTTATAATCTGGTGCGCCTTATGTATGAATTCTGGTTGTGCTTACTGACCTGATCCGACTTTATGTGCTACACGGTGCTGGAAAATCTGTCAAAAATGTTTTAGTACGACGTTGGTAAGCTACGAAGGCGCACCGCTTGGAGCATTACGGCTACCGTAGTCAGGAGCCTCGCAGAGTAATCTGGGTCCTAAACTCCGTCCACTTCAGGTCCCAAAGTCAAACGAACACTGCAGCATCACTGAGAGTTAAAAACTGTCTAAATTCTTTCATCTGTAATAAAATCATCAGCTTTGCTGCTTTACCAGGTGCAACAATTGAGTTTAACATCCTGGCATCCATGAAAACAGAATTTATTAAAATTTAATGAAGTTAGAAGTTAGCAGGAAGTTAGCTCGCTAGCTTCCACCTAAACATGACATACCATGTTCTGACAGAGATTTCTGAAACAAATTAAAACGTACAGCTCTGTTATCACTTCCAACATAAATGAAGACAGAAAACTAAACAGCAGTGACGTTTGTAGGGTTACTGAAGTTGGGCTAGCTGGTATATAATGATGTGCTACGTGATTGCTAGCAACACAGCTATGTTAGCATAGCATAAACAGTGAAGCTGGAGGATGAAGCTAACTTTTTTCCACTCGATAAAAGTTAATGTGAGGGTTCCTGATGGTTGGAGACAAATGCAATCGCATGGCAGGATGCTGTAAACGGACCAAACGTCAGTCAGGAGAACAACTGAGATAATCCATCCACAATACGAGGTTAGTCATTAATATACTGCAACAACATGGGAATAGAGCAGCTGTGATCGAATACAGCATTAATGAATCAATGGTACGGACGTCGAAGAAGCAAGAAGAATGAGTATATAATTATTATAATATAATCCACTGCGCCTAATGGTCTGAAAAATACAGTACTCATTAACAGTGTGTTAGCCCTTTCATCTAAGATGTTCCTGACTGTATGGCCATGTTTTGTGGATGGTGTCTCTTTAGGTGTTTTTTCAGGTTGCTGGGGTCAGAGAACTTTTCGGGGCAGAGCGAGCACTGGTACGGTCGCTCCCCTGTGTGGATGTTCCTGTGGATCTTCAAATTCCACAACTGGGAGAATTTTTTACCACAGATGGTGCAGCCATATGGCTTTTCTCCAGTATGGGTTCTCATATGAGATTCCAAATTTGCTGGAGCAGGAAACCTTTTCCCACAGAAACTACAGACACAATCCCTCTTCGTGGGATTTTTTGGGCCCTGACTTGGACCTGGGTGCAGATACTGTTGAGACCCCTGGACTGACAGGTGTCCTGCTTGCGTCTGACTTGACACCTGACTTTGGCTGGATTCATCTGACAGATCAATAACAGGAAGCTTCTGCTCAAAGGGATAAGTAGGCAACTTTCTAGAATTCTCAGCGGCTGATCCCCTCTCTGTTGCATTCTCAGCAGCCGATCCCCTCCCAGAGCTGCCAGGCTCTCCTCCAGTGAGTGTGCCAGGCAAGTATGAGAGTGGAGCGAAGTGTGAGGACAGCCCTGGAAGGCTCTCACTGTAACCGCCCCCCCTATTAGTCCACAGCGAAGAATGGCCACAGCTGACCTCTGAGAAGCCCCGCCCAGAGTCCTGCAGGTTGGACAGCCGATTGGTGGACATCTGTGTGGTTTCATCAAAGGACAGCACTCCTCTGCAGTCGTCTGTACTGGACTCCACCAACCCTGGACACAGACAGATTCAGAGTCAAGTTCTCACCCAGCTAGGGTTAAATGGACTCAACATTCTCACAGGGTTTTCTGGAGCGAGAATCCCTGATGTAGGGCAAAACATCAGATGATGCAATATGATGACTGACGACTCAGTTCTATTTTATTTATATAGCACCAAATGACAGCAACAGTAGCCCTCGAGGGGACACGTTTGATGTCATCAGTCTGCTGTAGTCGGAGTCAGAACACTTCCTAAACTGATCTACAGTTCACAGTGAACGGGTCTGCTCACCCTCCTGTATGCTGAGGCACGGCCGGTTCCGAGGTCTCGTCATCGGCTCCACCTCCTCCACCTTCACCAGCACCACATCTGGCTCCTCATCCTTCTGCCCACACAAAGAAAACATAGGAACTGTCTGATGCAATACACAACACGATACCAGTGAAAACTGTGACAAAAAGAATACGAACTCAAGTATAGTGAAGTTTATTTAGACATCAAAGACACAAAGTACTGTACAATCACTCAAAAACAATTAATAGCAATACAGAACCATGATAAGAAGAAGAAGAAGTAAGTGTACTTTATTGGTCCCCGTGGGGAAAATCCCTCTCTGCATTTAACCCATTCACCCAGTGAAGCAGTGGGCAGCCATTGGGCGCCCGGGGAGCAGTGTGTAGGGACGGTACCTTGCTCAGGGGTACCTCAGGGCAGCTGTTCAGGGGAATCGAACCCCCGACCTTCCGATCATGGGGCCACCACTCTACCTACTGAGCTATCCCTGCCTCTCCCTGAGCCTGGTTCTGCTGCAGGTTTCTTCCTGTTAAAAGGGAGTTTTTCCTTCCCAGTGTCGCCAAAGTGCTGCTCATAGGGGTCATGTGATTGTTGGGTTTTCTCTGTATGTAGTATTGTAGGGTCGACCTTACAGTATAAAGCGCCTTGAGGCAACTGTTGTTGTGATTTGGCGCTGTGTAAATAAAACTGAATTGAATAACAAACCAAAGGACGTCAGCAGAAAGCCGGATTACACAGAAAAGGTTTGAACTGTGTTTTGAAAGACTCCACAGAGTTGACTGAACAGAGCCGGGCACAGACTCGAGCACTCTGTGCCGCCCAGTCTTCAGTCTTATACCAGGAAAAACTATTAGGTTTTGAGCTCGTGAGCAAACACAGCAGACAGCAAGTATTTTGGAGCTTGTCTGTATGTAAGTGTGAGAATTTGAAAAACTAAAATCAACTGAAAGCCCCTGAAAATTAATAAAAGGGTAATGTGAACTTGCTAGGTGCAGCATGTTGTATGACTGGGAGGCATGAATGAGACGATACACATAACCTGGTAAAAAGCATTACAGTGGTCTAGGCACGCTGATGCATGAACGGTTTCCTCTGGTTCAGAGCACAACACTACAGCTCACAGTTTAGAGTAGAAAAGAAACAGGAGCGTGACATCGACCCTATACATGTGAGCCAACGTTCAGAATTAAACATGACATCAAGATTAGGAAAACGGGTCTTCACAGAGGAGCTGATTCTTGAATACATATCAGCAGGAGCTATAATGTAGCCTCAGTCTTGTTGGAACTAAAAATAATATATATATTTATTATTGGAGAGGCGGTCACAATCCTGGGATAAACAGTGAACTAGTCTGGACAGCCTATCCAGCTGCTGAGGCTCAAACATTTGTCTGCGCCACAGAAACAAGAAACACTAGAAAAGAAGGACGTTAAAGGAAAACAACAATGGCCCCACACTGAACCTTTTGAGCCCCACAGCTTAGAGATGCAGTATAAAAGGAGAACTTGCTCACCCTAATACAATGTCCTTCCAGATAAATAAGAAGAAAACCAGTCTAGTGCTGAGCTGGAGATACCAGCCAAAACACCGAGCCTATTAAATATTATGGTAACAGAATCAAACGCAGCGCGGAGGTCAAGAAATATGAGTAAACAACAATTTACTGGTTTCCACCTTGGTCAAAACTGGACTAGCTCGTTATCCTCTTCAGGTTATTTGAGGGAGTTTGTCCAACCAATGGGAGAGACATTCAGTCACGTCCCTCAGGGGATCCTGTGGGCGGGGCTTCAGGAGTACAGTGGGGCAAAAAAGTATTTAGTCAGCCACTGATTGTGCAAGTTCCCCCACCTAAAATGATGACAGAGGTCAGTAATTTGCACCAGAGGTACACTTCAACTGTGAGAGA